GCCATTAATGATGGAATTGACCGGTGTGGTATTTTAGGAATTAAGCTTGTAAGGTTCTTATGTTGTAGACTCTGTGTTTAATATTTTGGTTCATTTTGCTGGTCTTATGACTGTTCTTAATAAACTTACTTACTTACTCCCACAGAAATGGTCAGAGCACCACTTCTAAGCCCAGTTGCCACCCTCCCCATTACATGGGCCATATTGGAGCCAAGTAATGTGATGGGGAGGCCTGCTTAACTCCAATCAAGATCCTTGATGTTCACCTGTTTGAGTTGTGTGCCCCTGTGCTATAGCAATCATTCACTACTAAATTGTCCCATCCTCACAGGAACATCCAGTTACAAATGATTGCTGTAGTTTGGGGGTCCCCAAGGGTTCCCACCAACACCTTTCCTGGTACCTGCCAAGTGTTTTTAGAAAGTAGGCGGGGCCAGGTGGGGCTTTTGCCCAGCAAGACTTCCAAATTAGCCATTGGAGATTTGATTGGCTGTGCAGATGTTTAAAAAGCATTGCTTTGGCAGCAGCTACCACCACAGCATAAGAATCATGTGGGCTATCAAGGTGCCACTGACTCATAGTAATCCCATGAAGTTCCACCTTGTGTGGATTTTAAGGCAGGAGATAAGCAGACGTGGTTTGCCATTGCTTTCCTCTGCCTAGGAACCCCATTCTTTCTTGGTGGTCTCCCATCCGAGTACTGTCTATGGCTGACCCTGCTTAGATTCTGGGTACCATCTCTGTTTCCATAAGAGAGGTGAAGAAGGAGGATAAGCTTCAAAGCTTTGCAGGCCTGTTATTGAATATATTTCACATTAAATTTCCAGAAGATCAGTGATTTTAATGGTTTTGTTGTCATAAAGAAACATTGATTAGGTACTGTTAAGGAATAATAAAATGTCATCTGAAACATTTCCATGTCTCCCTCTAACTGAAGAAAATTCCTGTGGCATCGGAAAGACTAACATATTTATATAGCATATTTTTTAATGACAGACATGGAAGCTTATACATTTGTTAATCCTTATGGTGCTGCAGAATTTATCTTTTGTTTTAGCTGCAACACAGCTACCTCACTGGAATTTCCTTCTACCTGGCATTCCT